CCCCCCCCTTCCCTTCCCCGGCCCCCCCCCCCCCAAATCCCCCCCCCCCCACACACACACACCTCTCGTCCATCCAGCCAGTCAGCAGGCGGTATTGTAAATTTTATCTTCTCTTGCAGAAATCATTTCGTCTTCGTTGCAGCAGATGAAATTTCTTGTAACACCTCCTCAGGTAAAATAAATAAATATAAATGAATACCAAATCACCCTCACTTTCTCGATGCACCCGCGAGGGAGCGAGCATATACCCCCTTTTTTATGCACCCTGACAGTGAGTGCTTCTATTGCCCGGCTGTCTCCTTATTTCTGCCCCCTTTTAATTAGTAGATGTTACGTTTTATCTTACTACGTTTCTCTTGAATGCTCTTTTTTGGACGGGTGGAGTAGTTTTGGAGTACTGCATGAGGATAGCTGGAAGGCATCGCATTCATGGTTCTCATCTTCTGTTTCTCTCTCCCATGGCACTGCTTGGAAGAGGCATGTGTTCCTTGAAGAGTGAAATGAACACGCTTGTCACGAGCTTGGAATCTGTGATTTTTCCTTTTTTTTCTGTCTCAATCTTCCTTGTGTTCCATGGTTCCTTTGAGTTCTCCACCATCGCCTCCCTCTCCATTAGATCTGTGTGTGTGTGTGTGCGCTCAAGAGGGCCTTTTTTTGGTTGGTTTGTTTGTGTTATTGTTTTACAGGTGTGTTGTGCTGTTGTTGTTGTCGTATCAAGGTTGCTCTTGTAGTGTATGGTGTCTTGCACATTGGCTGTAGGTGGCTAGATCTTGGGAATGACACAAGTGTGATTGTTACTAGTTTGAGTCGCAGTATACAAAAAGGAAAATGGACCTGTCCGTCCGCGCATTGATTTTGTGACAGCCCTTTTTTTCCCTTCCCTTCCCTTCTTTTTTTCCCCCTCGACCATGGAAAATGAATATGCTAACAAGGCTGTAGTTTAGCAGAAGGCACTTTCTTGAAGACATCAGCTGTTTTCTGTAAAACACAATTGGAATGTGTAATTTGGAGTCTGAAAAACTTGCAAATTATGGTCTAATTGTCCCAGTTCAGTAATTGATGATAACCCCGAAGGCCGCACGCATCCTGTTCGCAAATCCACGTAATCAGTAAGTAAGAAAAGCGGAGAAGGTCCGCGTTTAGACTAACTCGCATTAGAGCCCCTAAAGCACAGCCTGGCATTGTTTAAAGAAATCATAGAAATGAGCTGTCCGTTCGGTCTCCTGGTGGGAAAAGTCAATGCATTTAGAGGAATGGCGCTGCTGGAGCACACATTTTCCAAAATAATGAGCATCTAGTCAATAATGCAGATATATCCCAGCCATCTGAGATTTATTAACCTGTATCTCAGAGCCCAGATCTAATTTAACCGTATGTTAGAGTCTCTGATGTTCATTAACAAACAGAGTTCACCAGTCTCATAAATCAGAGTTTTTGTCAGTCTCGATGGGCGGCAGGAGAAGCCTAGAATAACAGATCATAGAAAGGAACAAACTGATAGTCACAAGTAAGAGTTTAAGCTTAAATTTGTAGTGCGTTTCTGGCAGGCACTGCTAGAAAAACAAACAAAAACACATTTTCAGTGTCCTTCAAATGGCAGTTAAAACCCCCAGTTCTTGCATTTCGGGTGACTCATCCAATCAGCGTGTTTTCCTTTGCTTAATACTTTAGGAATAATTCACCAGGTGCTATATCCTGAGGGTCACCTTTTCAATCTTAGCTCCAGAAGAGCGAAGGCAGCCCTGGTTTGATCACTGCACCGCATACTCATTAAAACTAACCCCTGTAAACACAGATAACGCAGGTCAAACAAAATACTTGGCCGCTCATTGAAATATGAAGACAGAGCTACTGTGTAGTGAATAACAATGTCTATACTAATTTGCAGTGGATTAACTTCTTAATCGCCAGGAGTGGAAGAATATGTAAATTGGCTCCTTTCTCTGCCCTCTGATTGGCTCTTTATCTGGTCCAGAAACAACATGCATGCATAACAAGGCTTTGAGGAGCAGATATGCCAGGTTGTTTTCAAACGAAGCCTGCTCAAACTTTGAGGGAGAACAGGGTGAGATCTCAGGATATAAGACACTAGAAAAGTATTAATTAAGCTCACATTTACACTAAAAACCCTGCAACATTTTCATCAAGTCAGCCCCGAACGAAAATAATGAACATATGTTTTGATTCGTTTTTTTTTTTTTGTGCAAGTACAGTAAAACATTGATCTCTGGTCTGTTTGATTTTTTTTTTCCTGTGATGTTTTTTTTTTTTTTGCCTTTTTGATCAATATGCCTAAATTAAACTACAAAAAAATTGAAGGGTTGTTTGTGCAAGTGTATTGAACTTGAAAAAACAAGAAAATTCTTCTTGGTACCGATTTGCAAAGTTTGTATATACAAACGGATATTGCCGTAAGCGCTGGCATCCTATAATCACACAATTAGAATGATTGTGACAGAGCATCTAGTGAGGTCTTGCACAAGTGGCCCGTCAACTTTCAAACAGTGATGTCTTCCTCTTTGCCCTGTGCAGCATGACTGCAAGAGCCATGTGATCTTCTCCTCTCTGACTTCATTTGATTGTCATTTTCCAAACACACTGAAATCATCACCATACATAGTTGTTTCAGCCCGTGGTGTCGTATTTGACTGTATGGCATTTGTGTTTGCATAGAAAAGAAGCGATTTTTAACTTGGCAGCGCGATCTGACCATCTCTCCATGTTTCCACAGTTACGGACGAGTTTATGCTGCCGACCCCTACAACCACGCACTTGCTCCAGCAGCCACATACAGCGTTGGTGCCATGGTGAGCGTGAATTTCCATCTCTACCTGCCTCGATTCCTCTTTCTTTTTTCCTCTTTCCTCATGACCCCTTTATTTATCCCTTCCCTGCTCTTTTCTCAGTGCACTCTTGTCATGTACGCTCATTCTTTTCCCTTTTCTTCCCACCTTTTCCTCCTGCATGGATTTTAGCACTGCTGACATCTCCTCGCTTAAACTTAATTGAATTTGTCTCTTGTGCTAACGGCAGCTGAAATGCCACATTAATCCTCCCAGTAAACGTGATAAATGTCTTAATTTCTTGGCAGTGTAGTGCATGTTAGTTATTATATTTCTAATTTTGTGAATATCACCTAGCCGAATGCTCCCCTTAATGGAATAATTAGTCATTTTGATAATTAAATCCATCACCTAAGTGGTGCTGTAGCAACAGCTAAAAGAGAGAGGGAGCAGAGGAGAGACGGTGTGATGAAAGAGTGCGAGGAAGACCGATAAGAGTCTCCAGGCACCCACTGCGATGTGCGACTTGTTTGTACATGGACTGCTTTTGATCCCAAAACGTCCACGTTGCATACAAAACGTACACTGCGAAGATCAAGTTCTTAATCTGTATTTTTGTCTGATTTTCCAGAAAAAATGCTTAAAATGTTTGTGTATGTTAATAAGACTTATTTATTTATATTATTTTATTTTCAAATTTAATTATTTGAACGTTTTAAGTTTCTTGTTTTAAGAACAAATATCAAAAGGTGTGGTTACATTTACCATTGCTCTGCATATTTTTGCTGGCGAAATACAGTTGTTTCAGTAAGAATCCACACAATCTGCAATTTTGCATGAGGGCAAAAGACTCTTCGCATAAAATAACAGAGAAAGCTGCTTGGTTTGAAAGTGACTTCTGTATGAGCTGTGTTTCATACATCTACACTATTAACAATAGACAATTGAGGTTTTTTGTGCACGTTATTTTTTACTTCAAGATATTTTCTCTGATACATCTTGTACGTTTTCTTTTGTTAATTTATTGTTTTATGGATTTTTGCTGCAAAATAAGACAAAAATAGGTTAAGAAAATGCTTTTTGCGGCATATGAAACTCTGCATTCGTTGCTCATTTTTTTATTTGCTCTGTTAACTCATGCATTTCTTTCACCCCTTTTACATTTTTAAGTAGCTAAATGCATCTCTTCTGGCATGAGGTGTGTCGGTGTGCTTGCTGCATGATGGAACGTGATTGGTTTCGTCCGGGGGGGTATGTACGGCAAATAACCTGAATGCTAGCGGAGGTCTCCTCTAAACTGTGTCATTTAAACGTGTCCAAACCCGTGGCTTCTCTTCCAGAATGCTTTCGCTCCCTTGACTGATGCCAAGACCAGAAGCCACGCCGACGATGTGGGTCTCGTTCTTTCTTCTTTGCAGGCTAGTATATACCGAGGTGGATACAGTCGTTTCGCACCATACTAAAAAAAAAAACTTTCAAAACCTATTGAGAATCTTCCTGTGGGGGTAACGGAGGAGTAATTCAGAGGCCTGGGTATTGCAATACATGCAGTAGTGCATCATTTTAGCATCTCTTAAGAGAGAGAAGACAAAAACGGATATTTTTCATCTTATACCTCAGATATTTTGTGCTGTGTATTTTAATATTGTGGGTTTTTAATTTCTAACGATTACATAGATTGTTGGCTGTAGAGGTTTCTGTGGTGATCTAGAGAGCTGCTAGATTTTAAAAAGATGAAAAAATAATAATAATAAGATTCAAATTGTTAGGGCTTTATCATGTAAATGAGTTGTGTATGATAAATATTCAAGTCACTTCGGGGTTATCATATTCTGTAAGAGTGTAAGTGACTAGAGTCGTCCAGTGGTTTCTGCTTCCATTTGACATCGCCTTTTGTCTTTCTTTTGGTTTCTTTTGTTTCTGGGTTCTGTGCCGTAGAGGAGGCGTGTGCCGGGGGATGTGGGTAGGAGTAGATACGGGCGTGGTGGGCGAAGGACCGGGGGCTGGCAGTAAAGTCGGTGTAGTCCCCCGAGTGCAGTAAAGACACAGAGCCGGTCAAAGAGACCACTGAGGTATCGATTATTTAAGCTGTCTTATATCAGTCATTACTCAAAGCCAAAGGTTATGTTCCTGGGGTGTTCAGTGTGTATATTCAGACTATACATAGCAGCTCGTAGAAACTCCCCAAAAATTCACCATGACAGTATTTTACTGTTTAACTATTATCTAGTCCTTAAGTCAGACCCGCACTAGTTTAGGCCTACCACGAGATGTTCTTTTTATATTACAGTACTTCCAGTACGTCGATTGATATAAATGCTGACTTTTATAATACGGGAGAGTCGAAACACGAAAAAAAAAAAAAAAAAAAAAAAAAAAAAGAAAAAAAAAAAAAGACGGCGCCAGTAGCGCCGGTTATATTTTTTGTTTTTCTTTTATCTTCGTTTGTTTTTGTTTTTTGCGTTTTTTTTCTCAGAAGTTAAGAAACTCTTATTATTTGTACAAGACGAGAGTGGGAAAAAATAAACTAACGGTGTATTAAATTTGATCTGTGCAGTGAAGATGTTCTCTTATACGAAAAACACAACTGTATAATGTTTTAGATTTAGTGTGGTAGACCAACTGTTAGAGAAAGGTGTCTCATTTTTTATGGAATCATACACAGATTTATATCAACACTTTACAAGTAATGCAATCATTATGTAGATATAATCATAGTATTTTTGTCAACTGTACAATTTTGCACACACAACCTGCAATTTTTTCCATCACTACTACTACTACTTCTCAATTGTGGGACGTTCTGTTGTCTGTTTTCTTTTGGTTCTCCGCTTCTTTCGAGTGTTTCGTTTTGATATAATTTTTAATGTGACATCCTTTGTACTATTATTTTCTAGAACACAGCCTTTACACTTTGAAACTGTTTGATTATCGAGAAACTGAGAAATATATGACTTGTGAAAAAGATATCTATATGTAAATAGGAATAATGATAATGAACTATGTCATTTACAAGTGCTACACAAACAAGCTGTCGAGGTGTTCTTGAAGAGTCGCAGCTTGACTGTGCATACGCGAAGACTTCCCTTCATGTTGTTTACAAGTATACCTAATTAGAGGTGTTTGTCACATATCTCATTTTTCTTTCTTTTGTATTTATAAAAGTTTCAATTGCATAAAATACAAACAAAAGAGCAGCTCCAATTTATCCGGCTGCAAATATCCTCTTGTGTACTGTGTGCGTCACATCACACAACTTGGCAAAAATATCTTACCCACTGCTGTGATTCTGCTCTTTCTGCTTTAAGTACGTGTTGTGGACAGGCTTTCTCCTTGTCATTGTATGTGCATGCACTATGATCTGCATAACAATAACCATCAATAAAGTTTCTCAAGATAACAGGAACTTGTCTCGGAATTTCTTTGCACGATGCCGGCTGGCGGATCTTATATTCATTCAGATGATGGAGTGCGTTTGTCCTCTGATCTGATTTCATTGACTAAAATTGCATTGAAAAGCTCAAGGCGAAGAGGAAATGATCATCTCCGAGGAGGTTAAGTGGAATTGATGCTGCCAGGTCTGAGGTGGTCATCTGTACGGCTTTAAGAAGACTCTGTATTCAGAATGAAGGAGCGAGATCGGATTCTTGCGGTCTGATTAGGTTATCCCACACACTTTCAGGGTTATGAAACTTCTCCGGTCTGCAGATATTTCCAAAAAGGAAGCCACAATATGGCCTTATTTTAGGGTGCAGTTAAAGTTTGAATGGAAAAAAATTTGGAGCACACTCACAAATAGCGGAAGATCATTAGCATAACAGTCCAGCAAATGACAATATTCTGAACGTGCTATGAAGAACATTACTTTGGAGAATGATGGGACCCTCTCATCATCAAACCTGAACCTGTCTGCCCCGCATAACTGTAAGTAGCAGATATTCATTATCTTTCTCTCATTTCGCTAAGGTATGACGGAATTTCATAAATTATGTATACTACAGATAGTTCTAATTGAAGAAAAGAAGAATTACCCCACATTCTCGATTTGATCAGTGTAATTGGAAAAACTTAGCCAGAGGGTCCTTGGAAAGATAAGCAATATAAATGTTTAAATGTGATGAAGGAGTCACATTATGGTAGGTAATTACAACACCTCTTCACAGAAATGGGTGATCAATAATTAACGTATCTTGGGTCACAAGTCGGGGACATAATTTAAAATTGGTTATTAATTATATTATGAAAAATGTACATTCTCTTCAGATTATGTTGCTGAGTCCACAGGGAGAGGTAAAGGAGGTCTGATGGTTTTAATTCAGTCTCTCTCTCACTCGTGGTTCGGTCCCTCTTCCCACCGGCTCTGTGAGAGCTGTCAGTAATGTGATGATTTATGTTTCTGAATTAAATCGCGTATTAAATGAAGTCATTTGTGTCTCTTTGCTCAGTTTGATTGGCTGAATGAGACTGGATTGATTATCATGCAGATTGCAGGGAGTGGACGCTGGCTTTCTCGCGATCGGTCAGCCGTTGCTCTCTCATAACACTGCAGATTTGCAAATCACAGTTGTCACTAGGATTCAGACGCAATGGATTCTATGTGGGATAGTTCAGAAATTCAGACGTCTTGAATCAAGGGAGAAAAATTCACCAAATATGAATTCCCCAATAATAAAAGCTGTTTTAAACTGAATATCCACCCTAATATTAAGGCCTGTTCACACCAAGAAAGATGACTCTCAAAAGAGCGTCCTCACCAAGGCATGAAAACATTTTGTTTATTATAAGCATGTGCTGCAATTAAGTCTTCTGATACTTTAAATACTCAAGGATGGATTCTGATTGGCTGTCAATGTATTTAGGTTTCAGCAGATGAAAAAAATATTTTTGAAAGTAACTCTGCTATTACTTTAAATTCAGAATATTTTAAAAAGTTATTGTCCTTGGTGTGAACGGGCCCTTAACCCAGTCTCCCAGTCTATCCAAGCTGCTCTATAACCAGTCAACAGACCAGGCTGGAAGACCATCTGAGACCGGAAAACCATGTTAGACTTGTTTGAGCTCTTTCAGAAGGGTTGCATTAAATCAGTGATTCTCAACCTTTTTTTAACTCCAAAACTCCCTGCTGTCCACAATAATATTCAAAGTTAAAAAAAAATGTAACATCTAAATTTACAGGAATCAGAAGTTGTGAAAATTAAAGTAACTAAAATAATTAAACTGTAGAATTCCAGAAGTCTTAGGATGAATGTGAATTGGTCTTTAGTCATCTTGAGGCGCCCTACTGGATCCCAGCCCTGTTTGTTTTTTTACAATATTATACAGTCACAGACTTTTAAATGTAGCTATATATGTTCGTTAGAGAGACAGCTGGACTGGGCACCCGGAGGAAAAGGCCATACGCCACGACACTCGTAATTACAAAAACTGTCATCCCATTGCAGTTTACACTGCGCCTCCAAAGCCATTTGTCACGAATGGGACCTGCATGAGTTACTGTCATATCGAAGATTTGTGCACTGCACCTAGCAGCCTCTTGCCTGTGTGAGCTTTATCAGGCTCTCGCACTTAAATTGTCACCAGTCGGCTGGATTTCATGCAAACTTTCTCGGCGCTCGTGACACAGGCTGATACAGGAGGTGCACATTATGAATGAATGACTGAGTGAGCTAGAGGGAAGCAGGATGCAGCAGGGCAGAAGCTAATCGCCTCTCCATCATATCTGTTCTGCTCCACTTTCTCCCGCAGAGTCTCTGATAATAGACATTTCATCAGAGATTAGGCACCAGGCCTCTAAACACTGCTCCAGGGGAGCCCTTGCGTCGCTGCCAGTGCTACGACTGCATGCCGTTGAGGGAAGCTCTTCGCCCTCCTCCTCCTCCTCCTCCTCCTTCCTCCTCATCCTCCTCCCGCAGCCCTGTCTTTTTCCGGAGTCTCCAAATGACTCATCAGACCCATGATGCAAATGAGACCTATGCCTGGGTCTTGTTTTCATTTGACTGGAGTCCCGTGGACTTCACCAACGCCGTGATGTGACCCGCCGCTTTCAATTTCAAAAGGCCACAGATTTGATAGTGTCTGCTAAATTCAGTTTTACTGGGGCTCTCGGAATGCTGTGTGGTTCACGTGAGGTAACGTGTGGAGTTCGTCAGCATTACTGAGGTGCCAGAGATGACATCACCACTGTGCAGAACGAGCTGATGTGAGTGTGATGTATGCAAACATTAATGTGCATCACTTTGTGTGAAGACATCAAACAGACAGTGCAACTGCTGAGGCGCACTGTATCTTTTAGCTCTCTTTTGGCATTTGAATGCACTCCTAAAAAGAATAATAATAAGTTTGGGGTCAGGTAGATTTCTTTTAATGTTTTTGAAAGAAGTCAGTTATGCTCACCAAGACTGCATTTATTTGATCAAAAATGCAGTAATAATAAAAAATAATAAAACTGCAAAATTGTAATATTGTGAAATATTTCCTGTGATGTTGTCAAAGCTGCATCCTTGCAGAATAAAAGTAATATTAATTGTATAAATAAACTATTAATTTCACACACACATTATATATATATATATATATATATATATAATTAATGGGGTAATTTAAGTAAATAATAAATGGGGTAATTTAAATTACATTTTTAATGAATCAATTTAATGAAATCTATATCACATCCCATTAATTTATGTAAAATATCTACTTTTATACATTCAAATTGCTATAATTTAACTGTTATGTTTAATTTAAAAATAAAATGAGGTATTACTTTGTTTAATGTGTTTTGTTAACTGTTATGTAGCCTGTGGTTATGATAATTGTTTTTCAGCGATCACATCTCAGAGCAGGAGTCTTATTGTTTTCACAGAGCGCCTGAGCTATCATGAAGAAATATCTATTCTCTTTGCATCAAATGATTTAACGTATCCATATTGGGAAACAGAAAATGGCATTAGTTCAAAAACATAATATAGGTTATTAAATTGGCAAATGCCTGTGGTGGCAGAAACAAGTTTATCTTTATCAAGCTGAAGTGATAAAGGATTAGCTGAATCCAAAAAGAGCTTTTAGATGTTTTGAACATCTGCGCTATAAAGCTGCACTATGAAAAGGCATATAGATATAATTGCATTAACATAAAAAAAAAAATTGCTAGGGAGCCATGTTTTTAGTCAAACTCTTTGTATGCTCAGTTTGCAGTGTTAATAGTAGGCCAAGTGTGCACACATGGGAACTGCTCTTACTGTAAACAGCATTACGAAGAATGACTCAGTATATATTACAGGGCCTCTGATTGTAAGAATGAACCTCCCTCTGAAGTAGCAGCTTTACAATCCTGTGGTGCGAGTATAGAGATGCATATTCTAAACTCCAATCCTTCTATGAACCATCACCATTCCAGGGAGGTTATGTAACACACTGCCTTAGGAGCCGAAGGAAGTGATGTGATTTCTAATATGTGGAGCAGTGTCGACTGTTATTGATGGTGTTATTATAATAAAAATGCTCCTACCAGTGATTTAACCAAACCCAGTGCCCTTGGGAAACTGTGAACAGATGTTCTTGAACTCTACAAATGAGTGACGGCAAAAATAAAATAATGTGTCTGTTTTGTTATGCTGAAATGTAACAACACCAAATTCTGTATTTAAATGCAATACCTATGGATCATACAGTAGTCATTCCAGAATCTGTATTTAATAGATTTAATTTCAAAGTAAATTACATGTCTAGATGAAGTCCATAATTACAACTCTTTCCATTAGGTCTTTTTCCTTCTTTTTGTTTTGACACAAATACTGAAGAATGGCAGTTAGACATTAAGGGTTAATTTCACAGCATTAATGTAAATTTTAACTATTGTTTTCAATTACGGATTATCATGCAAAGTTGTGATAGTGGGCTATCATAACTTTGTTTAATAGTGGGCTACTTTTTAGGATGCAACCCTCCAGACCCTCATGAAATCCCTTGCAGTGTGCCTTTGCTTATTTGTTTTGGCACATTTAGTCACAAATCATGGTCCTCTCTTGTCTAATAAAATCTCATGCATGAGATTTGCATCTGATTGATGCAGTTCAGAATGTGAGCAAGTGATTCCATTGTGAAATGCATGGGAATACATGAGCATGGGAAATCTGATTATCATGGTCTGATAATATGCAGACATTCGAGAAAAGACTGTTTTTATTGAGTCATATTTTTCCTCTTCCAAAACATTTTTCTTAAAACATTTCTCTCTCTCTCTCTCTCTCTCTCTTAAAAAATAAAAAAGCGCAGCCTTTAGTTCCGTGTGCATCACTCAAAATGCTTTTAGCAGCACAATAGAATATCATTCATATGTTTTTACAGGAACGCATGTTATGCACAATTCAATGGCTCAATATTCCATAAATGCTCTCTCATGAAATATCACCGGTGTGAGATGAAATGCTGATTGGTTTTATTATCTAGTGTAGTGGTGCCGGTCGGTGGGGTCGGTTGGATGGAAAGAGTTTATTACCACTATTGTAATTTATTTTTGTTTTACTAGCTCTTCTCATGAAACATTTTTCTTAAACATTTCTCTCTCTCTCTCTCTCTCTCTCTCTCTCTCTCTCTCTTAAAAAATAAAAAAGCGCAGCCTTTAGTTCCGTGTGCATCACTCAAAATGCTTTTAGCAGCACAATAGAATATCATTCATATGTTTTTACAGGAACGCATGTTATGCACAATTCAATGGCTCAATATTCCATAAATGCTCTCTCATGAAATATCACCGGTGTGAGATGAAATGCTGATTGGTTTTATTATCTAGTGTAGTGGTGCCGGTCGGTGGGGTCGGTTGGATGGAAAGAGTTTATTACCACTATTGTAATTTATTTTTGTTTTACTAGCTCTTCTCATCGACCCTTCTCACTTGATCCACGCTAACTGAGAGTTTCAAACGTTCATTCTCAGTGTTCTACCTCCACCTGCTGCTCATATAAAGAATGACTGTTTAAAAAAGCTGCCAGCATTGAGAACATCCACTATTATGCAGTGCAGATATGTCAAGAATATTCACACCGAACACTGTGTGTTTTTTTCTGTGTAAACATCGCTTGACGAACGTCTTTGATCGTTGCCGTGCTTTTTCAACGTTTCGCGTAGGCTGCTATTTCGATTCTCGCGCTTTGCTCCGCGTTCTGTGTGAACGGCCCTCAAGAGAACACGCGACTTGTGCACCAGCGTCACAACTAACATGTTGTTAGGGAACATTCACACCGAACACGCTTTTGCTTTTAAAACGCGACGCATGGCAGTTTAAATAAATAAAACCTTTGGCATGCAAAAGATGTTCAGTGTGAACAGCCTCTCAGACTATATCATAACCAGCAGTGTTAGTAGCTTAAACACATACGTGATGCTTCTTAATGACAACAGATGAGAAGAAGGAGGGTCGCTCCCCCCTCCTTATACTCCCCAGTCTCAATCACATCAGTTGCAGACTCCTTTGCCCAAATGGTGTACATCACAAGCCCTGTCTCCATACTGCTGACATCTAGGTCGACTGTGGTTTGACATGGCAAGCGATCTAGCCTCTTTTTTCCTCCTCTCTATCTCATCATCTCACGCACACCCACTCTTTCGTTATTCTCCCTCCCTCCCTCTCTGTCCCTATCTGTCTCACACCCACTCCTGTCTATCTCTCTTTCTCTTCTCTTCCTACCTTTCTGTTGGCCTCCTCACACCCAGCACCTCCATATGCTGCTCTTTAATATTTGATCAGCTCCATCGTGTCTGCAGCCAGCACCAGTGACTTCATGGGATAAATAACGTCTGCCTGCATCTCATCGCCTCCCCGCATGTATCTGCAGTGCGTAATTACGCACAGGATTTATGAGAGGCAGCAGCTTTGTTTATTTGCAAACTGCTCGCAGTAATTGATGCCAGTGTGGAGTGCGGCTGCTTCTGGCCCTCGCGCCCAGACCCCGCACATTGTCTTTATGCGTGTTTACGACAAAACAGCTTGGCCGCTGGAGCTTGTGCGCTTGCAGCGTGGTAAATATTCGTATCTCTCAAAGCTCTCGTAGCTCTCTTTAGGCCGGGGTGTGAGGGGCCTGCCGCAGTGAGAGGAGACAGATGAAGGCTGATGTGGTGCATGCGGTGTAATGTAGGCTACTATCTGGAGCCGCCACCAGGTGGACTTCAATGCGAAATGCAGTGTGTATGATTTCGCAGGTGCAAAAGACCAAACTGTCAGTAGAGTTAAAACTAGTTATCTTGGGTGGAATATTCCTGTAATTATAGGCCTACTGCAGTATTTAAAATAATTTAATGTGTTATCTATCTATCTATCTATCTGTCTGTCTGTCTGTCTGTCTGTCCAAGCAAGGATAATTGTGACACAATTATAGTATTCTGTTAATTATATATATATATAATATGATATATATATGATATATTGATCTGCCCCGTTTGTCAGAGACACTTCCAGGCCAGGATTGGCCTCGTCAGCCTTTTGTTGACTCACATTGTTCTGACCTGTACTTTTTCAAATATATAAAAGAAAAAGTGATCATACTAAATGTTATTATATTTAAATGAAGGATAGTGGCAAAACCTTGTAAAGATTTCAAATGACAATTAATTCGTTTGGGGGGGGGTATATATGCATATAAAGGTGTAAAAATATTTTAACTGTAAAACATTACAAAAGAAACAGTTAAAGAGGAGTTTTGGAAGGTCAAATGTAATATTAGGATACATGTTGATAGAAGAACTGATGATATTGGAGTAGGTGTTACTTGAAGCATAAAATAGAGATTCAAAACTAAAGAAAGGCACTACTTCTGTCCACCAGCAGAGGGAGACAAAGATCGCATTATGTAACGTAGCAAAGGCCCTCAGAAAAAAAAAGAAAAAGGATGTGGAGCTTCTCATTAGTTCTAAGAATATAATCAAAGCGTCTACAGATAACGCTGTAATCAAGGTTGAATGAATGACTGTGACCGGAGAAGAGACAAGTTCAAGGTCAACCGCAAAAAGCAAGGCCTTAATATAGTCAGAAGGAAGTGGCGCAGAAGGTCTCTGAAATATAGCATCACATCTCATGCTTGGCCTGACATTTCTGCTCATTGGATTGTCCTCAAAACAGTGCCTGGGATATGATATTTGCTGTTACATGTGCTCATTTTAAGTTCCATTTTTTAATCTTGTTATTTATACTCCTTATAGTATAAATAAACAAATCCATCATGAAAAATGTGCCTTGTTTGAATCAGGAGAGAATGCACAGATCAAGCACTGTTTACAAGCAAAAACAGTTCTAAATACAGAGTTCTCCAACAAAAGAAACAGAGGCTAGAATCAGAGACCAGCCAAAGTAAATCTCAATGTCCTCCAGGGTTTTGTGGCCAGAGATGTCCACAGCCTCTTTGAAGGCGGCTGCAGAGTACGCCATGTAGACACAAATTCCAGCCAATGACAGCATAGCTGTAAGGAACAGAGTTTTTGAAAAGATGTTTGTAAGACATTCTCCAGTGGTTTGTAGAAGACAGTAAATGCATACACTGTACTGATACCGGACAGAAATCACACTTGATAAATGGTTACGTTTTTACAATTGTTTTATCTCAGAATACATTCTCTTAACCAAGGTTATTGTTCACTGAGTTGACTACTATAAGTATGCCATTTATGAGTTTATCTCCCCCAAAAATGTAAACAATCGAGCCTCCCAGGCACCATCAAAACAGTGGCCCGCTCAGATCTGTCAATCTCTTTGCAGCTGAGCCAAGGGTGTTTAGCTGGCTGACACGTTACATGCATAGTTCCAAATCTGTATACGTTTATTTTAAAGATATTTTGAAGAATGTTGGTAACCAAACAGTTGATGGTATAGCCACTGACTTCAATAGTATAGACAAAAAATACAATGAAAGTCAATGGCTACCATCAACTGTTTGGTTACCGACAATCTTCCTTTGTGTTCAACAGAAGTAAGAAATTCCTATAGTTTTGGAACAAGTGGAGGGTGAGTAAATGATGACAGAATTTTCATTTTTAGGTGAACTATCTCTTTAAGAATTTAGAAAGCAAAATTCAGATTCAGTAACAGAAGTGCAAGCCAAATTTCAAAGACTTGCCAAAATACACAGAGACAGACAACAGGGTAAAACAAAGGGGAACACTGGCGGTGCTTTTACAAGATGGCAGAATTTGATAGAATGGGTTTCAATCGAGATGCCAAACTTGCAGTTTCTTCTCAACAGAAAAGCTAAACTTAAGTTTTTGCCACAAATCTGACCCTGGACCACAAAACCAGTCATAATGGTAATTTTTTCGAAATTGCGATTTATACATCACCTGAAAGCTGAATAAATAAGCTTTCCATTGATGTATGATTTGTTAGGATAGGACAATATTTGGTCAAGATACAACTATTTTAAAATCTGGAATCTGAGGGTTCAGATTCGCCTTTAAAGTTGTCCAAATGAAGTTCTTGGCAATGCATATTACTAATCAAAAATTAAGTTTTAATACATTTACGGTAGGAAATTTACAAAATATCTTCATGGAACAAAATAAAAATTAATAATTTTGACCCCTACAATGTATTTTTGGCTATTGCTACAAATATACCCCAGCGACTTAAGACTGGTTTTGTGCTCCAGGGTCACAAATGTTAACTCTTTACTATCAAGCCCCAGATGAAATAGTAAGATATTGTTAATGATAAGATTCATCGTAAGGGTGTGATGAGTGTAAGGAGCATTTGCAAAGGTTGTTTGAAAATGTGCTTTGTTTTTGTAGTTCTGCTTAGTGACACTAGTAACCAAAATCAAAATACTTCACCTTTGAGGATGCAGTACTTATTTGTATTATTATATCATTGTTATTAATAATAATATTTCACAACTAGTCAAAACATAGTTTTAGTTGGATCAGATAGTGTTTAAGTTTTTTGATAGTTTAAAAAGTATTACAAGGTTGTTGTTGTTTTTTTTATGTTGTTTGGTTACTAAACTCATATGTTCGTTTGTGTTATTTAATAGTTTTATAACTTTACTATACTTCTAAAATGTAAAACATAGCAAAAAATAAAGGAGACGGTGTGTCCAAATGTCTGACTGGCAGTGAAATTTATCTTTGTCATTGGAAACACATATTTTGTGTTACTGCACCTTTTATGTCTGTCTATGCAGCAGTGAGAATGAAATGAAAGTCTAATGCAACCCTCCACAGTGAGGATCACTGTACTTAAAAGCATGTCATTTATGCTGGTGCTTTTTTTACTTTAAAAGGCTCATGACTTTTGAGAACCCCCTTCATCATCAGAGCCCATCAGTTCCTGCTGGTATCTTAAAGAAGAGGCTGATGAATAATCTTCAAGACTTTCAGTCATTTATTGGCTGTGATCTGTAGTCTGGTGACATTTAGGGGCATTGCTGCTTTGCAATGATTGCATGTCTTCATATCAATTTGATTAAGTTCAGAGTCCATGTTGGGTTTAGTTGTTACCATGGCATCTGCAAAGCAACATTATTATTTTTTTCTGTTATAGGTACTGAGTGAATCTTGAAAGAGAAAGGCTTTTATCCTGAGAGGAATTTCAAGTGAACCCATATTTTTTCACAAATGATGTGGGTAGATATTTCATTTTAAAACATGAATCAGTGTCTGTGTAATGGAGTAGCACCAGATAAATGGGTCCGGATAAAAATCTATCCCATTGTCAATGCTCCCAAGTCCCCTTTTTAAAGTTATATCATAAAAAAAAATCCTTCTACAAACTGGCACCAACATTTCAAATGTACAAAGCTGAATAAAATACAGTAAGCATTATTTGAAAGACTTTCACTTTTTGTTCTACAACATAAACTGCACACAGTCATGCCTCAAATATGAGTTTTGAAGCCAGTGTATGTGTGTGGTTGCTAATAAGTTGGCCTACTAAATAAGGACAATGACCACAAGGATGTGTTAGACAAATCGGAAAAACATTCAAATCTTTGTTAGCAATAAATAAAGTAACTTGTTAGCAATTTCCTTTTTGGGTCAGCCTTCAAATTGACATCCTGACTGAAAAACTGTATTGCTCCAATGGTGATAAAATGTCTTATTACAGAATTGATGTACAAATCTACCTATTACAGAATTATGGCATTCGCAAGAAAAACATTAAAGGGATAGTTCACCCAAAAAATGAAAATTGTCATCATACTTATTTACTCATTACTAATTCTGATCAAATTGTAATGAAAACTGTAATAAATTCTAATAAATGTAATAAATTATATGTTGGATCAGAAAAACAGTTCTAAAGCTACTTTTTGTCATGTCTGTTTCTCAGACAGATTATTAGATTAATTAATCACCACATTGTCTAATTTATATATATATATATATATATATATATATATATATATATATATATATATATATATTTACATATTTACAATACCGAAAAACTAATTTCTTGTGAAATTACAGAAATACAACTTTTAAATCAATGCTTTGCTATATTATTGAGAATTCATACATTTTTACATTTTACAAGAAAACATGAGTGATGTTTACTCGCAAAACTCACTTGTCAAAAAATTAAAAGTTAATTGAATTATACATCATGAAATGTGGGCTAATCTCAAACATCCGTACGGGCAGACAATGGAATATATATATATATATATTTACATATTTACACACACACAAAGCTGGGTAGATTACTTGAAAATTGTAATCCGTTACTGATTTCAAATTACATGACAAAAATTACGTAGTTAATAATGTAATCCGTTACATTACACATTTGTGACCCTGGACCACAAAACTAGTCATAAGGGTCAATTTTTCGAAATTGAGATTTATACATCATCTGATGATGAATAAATAAGCTTTCCATTGATGGTTTGCTAGGATAGGACAATATTTGGCCGAGATACAACTATTTGAAAATCTAGAATGTGAGGGTGGGAAAAAATCTAAATATTGAGAAAATCGCCCTTTAAAGTTGTCCAAATGAAGTTCTTGGCAATGCATATTACTAATCAAAAATTAAGTTTTAATATATTTACGGTAGGAAATTTACAAAATATCTTCATGGAACATGATCTTTACTTAATATCCTAATGATTTTTGGCATAAAAGAAAAATTAATAATTTTGACCCATACAATGTATTTTTGGCTATTGCTACAAATATACCCCAGCGACTTAAGACTGGTTTTGTGCTCCAGGGTCACATTTTAGGTAATATAATCAGACTACTTTTTGATTACTTTTAGATTACCTTTGACCTAACTCATTTATCATATTGATTTAAATAAAATAATCTTGTACGATATTGCTATAAAAATGCAAATAAATAGAAAATATATTGCATTTCTTTCTATGAAGTGTGCATTATACCAAGGTTTCCCAAACTGGGGCTCGTGAACTGCAGGGGGTTTGTGAGTTTAATGAAAAGATAATAATTAAAATATAAAAATGTCAAATTAAAATAAATCATGCTAAAATAACGACAACCAAAATAAAACACTTACTAAAAAAATATATTTAATTTGTGACAGAGAATGGTGAACATGTGAAATGTGTTACTTAATTATTAACTTATTACCTTAACATCTCAGGGGGAACTTGAAATAAATGAATTAGGTGAGAGAGAAGTCTGGGAACCCCTGCATTACATGTAAATAAGAAATTATGTGAATTTGTGCATTTTAATGTGTTTGAAAGAAAAAAAGCCTTCCAAAGACATAGTAATACATGGTTAAATAACCCACTGAGTGATAATTCAAATACAAAATTAATGTGTTCATCAGTAGTTAATGCAATGTTGAAATGTTGAGAAAACACTTCTTAAAATTAAAATGATTTTTGTAAATCCAGTGGTCAAATCCTGTGAGGCCTCTCAATTTTCTGTGTAATTAGAGCCACCTGACCAGTGACTAGACTTGTGTGAATGTGCACAAAACTGGAAAACTTTCTGTAATTAAGCATTAGGCTATTTTAGAAAGGAACATTTAAAAGATTAAAAAGAGGAATTAGGGAGAATCAATAAATTATGAATCATTTATTGCTATTGTGTGAATAATATGTAATCACGTGATCAATAAAAAAGTAACTCTGATTACAAGTATTTTAAAATGTAATTTAATCTAATTATAAGTACTTAATTTTTGGAATCTGATTACGTAATCCAGATTACATGTAATCAGTTACTACCCAGCTTTATATATATACAGTATATATATATATATATATAGGTGGATAACTATAATAAAACAGGTATGCCTAGGGCCAAAAGGCTCTGCTTCAGTATGGTTTGTGTCAAGCCATTCATTAATCTGGCTGTTTGATGAAGAGATAAAATGTAGTAGAAATAAACATGTTAAGAATCAATAGAAGCGGAGGACTATTATTAAGGTTTTTTTAGGACTATTATTATGTTGTAATGTTTGGTTGACCAATTAGCAGAGAGGGGCGTTTCATTCCCGCCCACATGTAGAGATCGAATATTCAAGTTGTTTATTCGTTTTCTATCCCTGAATGTAAAAACGAAAAATTAAGCCGGATTCTTGATTTTTCGTTTTGTTTGAATAATTGAAAAACGAAATATGTGCCGTTTTTCATTTTTCAGATTTCAATATTAAAACAAAAATTGATTGGACGGAAGATACCCTGATTATATATACACACACACAGTATATTACATTTTCCAAATATCTTGCAAAATGCATACAGCTGCAAATACATTTATTTCCAAGAGAATTTATGAATATTTTTTGCTAAATAACAGAAAATACAAATATAAACAAAATGCAAAAAGACTATGGACCATTTTGATCTTATCTTTTAAAATTCAGCACCCGAAGTCAACAGTTGAGACTACTTTTTTCCATCTGTTTTTTGTTGTGAAGCTTATTAATTACTATCAAAACTGTCTAGAGTTCCAGATGCTCTGTTAAGCATGACGTGGGCCGAATAAATATTCATGCCGCACATGAGGATCAATCAGAGGTGAAAGCGAGGGTGATTCTTGATTTTTCGTTTTGTTTGAATAATTGAAAAACGAAATATGTGCCGTTTTTCATTTTTCAGATTTCAATATTAAAACAAAAATTGATTGACGGAAGATACCCTGATTATATATACACACACACAGTATATTACATTTTCCAAATATCTTGCAAAATGCATACAGCTGCAAATACATTTATTTCCAAGAGAATTTATGAATATTTTTTGCTAAATAAC